GGGGTGCGTTCGATGCGGAATGAGGGGGGATCGAGGGAGGGGTGTCGTGCTTGGGGTGGGGGGGGAGCTGGGGATTGTTTTGTAGAAAGGAGAGGGCGGGTGGTTGGTTAGTGGGGTAGGTACAGAGGTTTACGATTTGGATGCAGGAGAGTAGGGTAGGTGGAGTTGGAGTTTTGGTTAGTCTCACTCGACTTTGTCCCAGACGTGTTCGGCTTAGATTGGTCCAATGTTGTCGGCTGCAGGCAAATCGTTGTGACTCCCGATGTTCCTTGAATAGAAGTTACTTGAACTCGTCATTGTGGACAAAAAGGACCAGTTATGAACAGTTTGTTGTCCTTTAAATCCCTTGGAAGCTTGCCGGAAAGGAGTTAATATTGAAATCTAAACTTCAATTATCAAGATCCCCTTTGGCCAGCGTTTCCCGCCAGGTGCAGAGTATGTTTTGCGACTTCCCGTCAAAACACCGCTGACGAAAAGATAATGACCTGTGCGAGCGTGCACGCACGCGCGCAAGGCTTCTTCCTCATTTGAGTACGGGCTATGGCTGGGCGAACGATGGTCGACGTCGTGTTCGAAAATTGAAACAAAACGCACGGGCTCACGCGTGGCACAATTGCGGGCGCGAGGACGCACACGGTGAAATTGCGGGGTGTGAGTGCGAGGAGGAGCGCTATTTTGCGCTAACCCACGACACGAGCGCATCTCATGCCATTTTTATTTTTATTTTTGGTTGAAAAACAAGCTCCGATCTATTTGTGTGGAGCGTCACGTGCTGAGAACCGGGCTCAGTGTCCTGTATGAGAATGTTTAGGAATACACGAACATGATGTTTAGGAATACATGAAAATGAGATTAGATGGGAAGGCCACCTAATGTGCCATGATCTGAATAAGCCTGTCCAAAGGAATCTGCCTCTTCATCCTTCATACAGGATGCCAGATCCTACCTAGAGCACTAGCAGATCCTGATCTTTTCCAACGGCTGGAAACCGGGTCCAGCGTCCCATTCATCCTAGCTGCCCTGGCTGGGGCCGGAGGTTAGATGGAACCACTCCTGGGCACCAGTGGAACCATCTGCCTCCCTCCCCATGCGCCCCTTATGAAATTTTGGAAAAAGGGGATTAAGTTCCGATTAACTGCCTCCTCGATGAAATGTGCATCTCGTCATTTCGCATCATTTTCCCTGCCAGACTATTACCCCTTTCCGCAAATCCCCCACTGTCCTGAGTACTCCTTACCCTTTTCGCAGCGAATAGATGAGATCTCCTCATGGTCCTACCCATGAGGACGTCATACCCCACATTAGCTCTCCCATCCACTTCTTCTTCTTCTTCTTCTTCTTCTTCTTCTTCTTCTTCTTCTTCTTCTTCTCCTCCTCCTCCTCCTCCTCCTCCTCCTCCTCCTCCTCCTGCTTCCTCTTCCTCTTCTTCTTCTCCTCCTCCTCCTCCTCCTCCTCCGCCTCCTCCTCCCTCCTCCTCTTCTTCTTCTTCTTCTCCTTCTTCTTCTCCTTCTTCTTCTTCTTCTTCTTTTCTGTCAAAACAGGACCTTATGGCCTGGCTCCATATCAGGCCTTCCTTTGGCTTCAAATCTACCAGGCCTGCCTTTCGCGTCAAATCTACCAGGCCTGCTTTTCGCGTCAAATCTATCAGGCCTATGATTAACTAACCCGTTGATTTTTTGCCACTATATCTTATCTCCATTTCCATATGCCAATAAGCTGCACTCGGCCTGCTTTCTTCTAGGTCGTGTGGCCATCAATGGTTCTGCACACCTTTTCTTCCTTACGGGAGGTTTGGGATTTTCAGCAAGGAGTGAGGTGGCGGATTGCTTTGGCTAAAAGGTTCTGGCCCATCCCTGGTCATTCCTTTCTACTGTCAAGTCATCACAAACATCAGGGTGGGAAAAGATTCTCAGTCATGAAGGGGATTTAACTTCTGAGTCGCTAACCTACCGATTGATGGATCTTTTCTGAGGAAGATTGGAGGGGCTAGGGGGTCTCCGTCCGTATCAAGTACGTGTATGATGAAAAATTACGTTGACCTGGACCCTGTTGGGCACATCGTATTTTCTTGTTTTTTTTTAATGAAAAGTGAAAGGATTTCACGTCTCAGGCAGTCCCAAATTAGAGTCGGGTACCGTAGGAGTCAAGTCCAACAGGCACCCAGTGAACAGTCACATCCCAGAAGCAAAGGTTCCGTTCTATAAGCAAAAGTCACGTCTCATATTGAAAAGTCATATCCCACAGGCAAAGGACGCTTCTCCAGGAAAAAGTCGTGTCCCAGAAGCAAGAGTCACATCCCACAGTCAAAACGCATGTTCCACAGGTGAAAAGTCGTGACTCACAGACCCAGGCAGCAGCACGCCAATTTTTTTTTCTTTAAAAAACCCAGGATGTTGTAGAGGTCGGAAGCCCAGCCCAGCAGAGCAGCCCTCAGTCGTCATCCATTCTGGTTGCCTGGACGGTATATCGAGAACCCTCCCTGTATCCCTGGTAGGTCCATCGCGAGTCGAACCTACGGACACGCCACCGTCTTACTGGT